GAGTGTGATAGCTGATACTTAAATATTGCAGAACATTTAGCTGAGACATGTTTACTAACCAGAACCGGACAGGAGGTCGTAACAAAGCTTGGAACAAAACTGAAAACTCTGTGTCTGTTTTTAGGACAATACTGTGTCTAAAACCCAGTCCGGCTGAAGTTCATGATTGCTTTAGATATTTTAAATTGTAAGTAGAGGCTGCAATCAAAAGGAATGAACCAATCGGTCTAGTGCATGCATTCATTCCTCCTCCGCATTGGCACTAGCATTCAATTTTTGAGTAACAGCTTTGAGCAAGAAACCAATCCAGCTATAAAAGAAAATCCAGCTACATAAAAAAGAAGAGTATTCGGCTCTCCACACAGCCTGACCAGAACTGAGGCTAGCACAAGAGGGATGGCAGCAACAGGCACTTTCACAGGAGGTGGGGCACAACTGCCTTCTTGGGAGCAGCCTAGATTTGGGTTGGTTTAAAGCTATCATGAACCTGCAAGCACTGTTGGAACATACATCAGTTTTTTTGGATCACATGTGAAGCATTTGCCTTGTGTGTTTTCAACAGTTCCTGTTTGTCCTTGGTATAATAGCAATCAATTGTCAGCACTGTTTTTATTAATAGATGGATATTAAATAGGTTCAGAATGGTACTGGCTTAAAACTTGTCTCTGACCGTTTCCTAAATATTTATTTGCTTAATTTTCAGGCAAACATTTTACTTCTCCCCCCAAAAATGTCCCAGCAACTGAAAAATCATGTATATGAATCTTTTTCTGGAAGATGAATTGATAGCATTGTGAGCATTATTACTGCAAAATTTTAGTTTGCAGATCTTTTTTGCAGTGTTTGCCCAAACCTAGCTATAATCCTAAACTATAAAACTAGCTTAACTAGGATTCATGTGGGAATGTTGAGGTGAAATTCTGCGGTTTGTCTCTTGCAGGAGGTCAGGCAAATCTATCCACGATCTCTACTGATCTAAAAAAGTACATGAATCCCAACTGAAGGCGTAATGTGGCAGAACGGCATGGTTCTGCTCTGAGATGAGACTGTATTTGTAGAGAGGGAGAGGGAAAAACGTGTTTGCGAGTTGAAGAGTTATTTAATGTTTTGTTCTAGGAATGGAGAATTTCAAGGAAGTAATTCTCTCAGCTTTTCAATACATTGATCTCTGTGAAGTAACATGAAGGCTTTAGCTGAAAAAAGTGAATGAGAAGTTAAGCTTTCTCAATGTGTGGGTGGTGGTGGTGGGGTGTTTTTAAGCATATTAAAACTGAAGTGAGTTTTGTGCTGGTGCTATTCAGGGTCTTTTATATGCATCTTAGTGTTGTCTTTCCTTTTGAGGAAATGGTAGGCAATAATGGGCTTATCTTGAGAATTAAACTTGATTTTCTTGTTACATCAAACTCTGGCATAATTTGAATCAAGTCATTAGAATTACAGTAGGCTAAAACTGGTGAAAAATAGGTTTGGAAAATCAAAATTTATGCACAACTATCAAAACATAAATATATTTAATCCCTACTAAAACTAAATCTGCTTTCAGTTAAGAACTACTGGATTCATAAATGTAATACATGAGTGATAAGATTTATGAAGTTTAATATTTCAAGACATCTTGTTTAAAATATGAAACAGTTAATTTCATTGAGTTAATAGTTTTCCAGCAGTGACCTTGCAAACGGTTCGGATATGATCAGTGACCCGTGAAAGCACAGCTCATTGTGTTTAAAAAAAGCCAAAACCAACCCTCAACCAAACCCAATACAAAACCCTCCAATTTAAATGTGTCTTTGCTACTGCTCTTCTAACAGGTTAATTACTAACCAGCATTTGCTGCTTGTTTTACCCTCCCTGCCCTCTGTCCTTCACTTCTTGTTCCCTCTTCTCTTAGACTTCACATTGGCCGCTAGGTGAATAAATTTTCCACCTTTCTTCCTCTTCAGACAGGAGGAGCAACATGAAGCGACTTTTCTAGCAAGAATAGAAAGTGGTTTTTTACATCTTGCAGTCTGGCCATCTCAGTCATCCACTAACCTTCACTGAAAAGTAGCCTGTGTTCCCTCCCACCAGACCTCGACCCCCTTGAAGAACCCCTCAAAACCAGAGAAACAGAGTAACCATTCTGGAAGGTTCTGATGATGAATATTTGTCTATTCTATTCCATATATATTCTTTGCTTTCTTTTGGTCTTAAACTTATTTGTATGTGTGCATGTTTATTTTTTAATAATCTCATAAGAAGCAGCTATATGTATTTCTACATCATCAAGCATACTTTGGGGAATAAAATGCTTGTAAATCAAATGCACAGCAAAAGAAGAAGGGACAGGCCAGACTGACTAGCATTGATTAGCGCCATTAAGTTAGGGCTGGGGACTGGCCCTACCTGCTAAAACACGGCTCAGGCCTAGATTTCAAGCACATGGTCATTTTGGACAGTTGGTGATTTAATGGCTTTTATTTGTCTTACTACAAAAGTACAGGACGCTAACAGGATACAAAGCCAGCTCTGCATTGAAATTCGGAGCACATGCATGGATGGGAGATCAAGTCGTAAGATTTGACCTTTGCCTGCCTTTGAGGAACGATGCTGGCAGCACTGCCTGCCAAGGCTGCAATTTTTAGGAGCAATAGCAGCTATCCAGTGGGGGAAGTAGGTAACGTCATTAGTGCCTCTGTCGGCACACAGGGTAAAGATAACGGCTTCAGGAGAGAGATAAATAGGTAGCAAAAGAGGAGAACAAAGAAAGAATAGTAGGACAAGAAAGCCTGCACTTCTGTTTTGCCATCCCAGACAAGGAGCAGGTTGTACAGAACGTGCCCTTTTGTGCTTTTTCTTTCTGACCTCTTTGGCTGCTGCACAGTAAGTGTTGCCTCTCTGTCATAAATTTGAAATGAGCTGATTGTTTCACCATTTGCCAGTGAGCCAGATGTTTCTGTTTCTCATTGGTGATGTGACAGACGTAGTTTGCACAGTGTCACTTACAACTGCAGATATTGTTTATTCTTGTTTTTATATCATCCTGTTGGATGGCGTCATTCCAAAGGATGTCATTGTGGTGGGTGATCAGAGAGCTCGATTGTACATGGAATTGGTTTGGGGGCTTTGGGGTTTTTGTTTAGTACCTGCAAAATTCAAAGGAATTAGTGAAGGAAAGCAGCCTTCAAAGTTTTTGATTAGAGCTGAAATTATGTTAGTGATACAGGGTTCAGAATTTGCAGAATTAGGGATCTCCACAGGACCAGTAGGAAAACTGCAGTCTTAAGGAGTTCTGTATATTTATAACAGAAAAAACAACTGCAACTCAAAGTTTCTAGGACAGGATTTGTATTCAGTTTTTTGTTATGAAATTGCATATTCAGAGTAAAAGCTGGTTTTTGTTATCATCTGACTGGTGGAGGAAAAGAACAACAAAAACCTAGGATTGAATAAATACATAAATGATTGTTGGGATGTTGACTGATGGTGGACTGGGGGGGTATTGTGAAATCCTGGGCCAAATAACAGAACGTATTCAATAGACTGGGGCTCATGGGTCAAGTATAAGATTGTTTTCTTTGGGAGCTTGAGCAGAATTAAAAAATGTGAGTCTTGTCCATAGTGATGGTAACCACAAAAAGAGAGACTGTTTAATTGCTGTTGCAACTTATTTTAAAAGAAGACATATTTTGCATTTAGCTGTTGGCATCTCGAAAAAATGTACTTTTAATAGGTTATGACTGTGAAGGTGCTCAAGACTGAAATTTGTATTAACATGCACGTATTGTTTACCTCATGTTTCTGTCTTCAAAGTTTGATGCATTTCCCATGTGAAAATTATGTTTCATATGGTAATATTGAAGGTGGAAGTATTGAATGATTTTTTGCAAAGAGAGGGGAAGCTGACAATCTCAACCAGTTAAGCCAAGAAAACAAACAAACAATGTTTTTCCTTGTCTTGTGTAAATATTTCTTTTTTTCCCAGGTATAAATATCCCTTGCCCTTTCTGGTACAAATGAAACTTGTGGCTTCTGTCATGCAGAGTAAATCTGTTGCTTCTCTTGATGACTTTAATGTCTTACTTGATGCTTATATATTTTATATGAATTCAAGATGGTTCAGATAGTATTTTAATTGTGTTGACCACTTTGTTCGTTCATTTCCAACTCAGGCAATACTTTCTAAAACTGATGAGACAAAAGTTTTAAGTGGTGAATTTGCAAGGTAGTTTAACTTATGCTTTCTGTTTTGTGAAATCTTTTAATTTAGCTGCTGATGTGTTTCTCATTTAGGATTTGAATAGCCTTCTAAGAGACTGGCACTTAAATTGCTATTAAAACTGGAGCTTAGCCATCAAAGTGACTCAGAACTGGCACTGCTGATGGCAGCAATACTGAAATATTTTTGAAAAGCTGAGCCCTGTCTTCCTTAGTTGCCTTTCAAAAATGGGATGTAAACACTGCTCTTTTGAAAAAATGACACTTTGATGGAGAGAGCTATCTTTGTCTTGTATAACACTGAGCATGCTACCAAAAAAATGATCAACTTTTGGTATGTTTCTCAGATCTGTAAAATTGGCTAAATATAAAGTGTGCGGGAAATAGAGTATTGCCTATTCAAGTGCTGTAGAAATTGTAGGGGCAAATAGCAATTGGCATTCTGTTCATGTGTGTTCTGCTTCAATGTGTAGATCAGCCTGGGTTAGCGTTGCTAACAAAGCAAGCAATGGTAACTTCATTTTGTCATTGTGCCTGGCAAAACTAGTTTTAGGGAGGATTTTAGCTAGTATTTTACAGTAGAGACTTCAGTAATGACATATAAAAGAATCATGCTCCATTAAATGTGGAAAACTTACTTGTGCAGCTAAGTGCTTTATGGCTGGATTAATGAGTAACCTGCTTCAATTAGTTGCTGCTCTCCTGCAATGTAGTCTTTGGGTTTCTTTTTCCCTGTAGTCATTGTGTTTCTTTTTCCCGACACAAACTCTCCTTGTTTTCACTCAGTCATTTAGCACCCCAAGATGCGCATTGCCCCCAGTAAGCTGCAGTTACTCCTGATGGGGATAGTTTGTATTACAGAGTTTCGTGCTGTACCATCCGCTCTTCAGAAAGGTAGGATGAAAATTTCACATCTAGCTTTAACAGTTTTCCTCAGTACTAACAGTTCTGTTCTTAGGCAGTGACAAGCCTTGGAGTCAGTGCTGAAATAAAGAAGCTGCACTCGTTTCAGCCCTGAAGTTTTTGACCCTAAGAGCTTGTAGGCCTAGAGACATGGTAGCATTAGAATAAATGGTCTAGTTTTCATTCGTTGCTTTTGTTCCAATCCAAGTCTGTAACTGGAATTTATCTTTTAATGAGTAATCCTTATGAAACTTTTATCTGATTCTTTGATGATTCAGAATGAATAACATTAAATATGATTTATAATTAATTAAATAAAATTAAATAATCTCAGATTTGCAGCAAGTTAATGAACGCCATGGTTTAGCATGTTACCCATGGGCTGCAAACAAAATACAGCAAGTCCTCTCTTCCATTGTCTTACATCTTAAAATCCAGAGGTTTTTTTTTTTTTTTGTTGGAACAATCAAAGATTGCAATTGTTTGTGTTTCCTTCATGAAGATTTACTGATTTATGGCAAACTGTAGCGGAAATCAGATCTTGGCTGTTTGCATAACCATTTTGCTTCCTTTTTAAATTTGCAGTAGTAAAAAAGGGAAAATTACCGCTTGATTTTCTAAATTCTACAAATCACTTGTTTTCATTGTAAAAACTCCTATTTTGGCTGTCAAAACAGGTGTGGCATCTAAATCATCATAATAAGTTGCTCACTTAAGCAGTCCAAAGCATAGTATTCTGTAGAATGGTATTCTCTTGCTTCAGTGTCCTGCCATGCAGATGGATGTGATGCAGTTTACACAGAAATCTCTCGTCCGACCAGTGAACGACACTGGTTCTGAAGCAGTCTGTAAAGCAGGCAGGAATCTCTTGGGCTTACAAATGCCGTGGCGCAGAAGATTTTAGAGTTTGTCAAAATATAGATAAGTTTAGTATAATATATTAATATAAAAAGTAACTTGTAACTTTTAGGCTAATCTTGCTTAGGAGAATAGGCTTATTCAATGCTGAAAGAAAAAAGGAAGGTTTTAGTTTGTGAATCTGTTTTTTCACTTTATTTATTTTTGCCCATTTCCTGACTACCAAATTCCTTTTGGTAAAACCTAAATCCTATTTCTAAAAATTTTTGCCTCTATTTCCTCTTTCCCCTTTCCTCAATGTATCTTTGCATATGGGAAAAAGGTGGGTGCAGTGAGAATTAGGAAAGAGCGAAAAA